TGAGACCACAAGTTTTATTAAAAACAAATTGTTTATTCAAAAGCAACCATCCAACAACTCAAAATGCAGAGCAAGAAGGATGAGAAACATCTCACTGTCCAAGAGATTGTTTTAATTTTTCACTATGTGAAACTCAAACTTCATTTTTAAGGAAAGGTTAACTGTAACTTCAGTAGACAGAAACACAGAAAGATTCTTCACACGGACTAGTTTCCATTCAGTCAGTCGACTGTTTCTAGCTGTCTCAGTTGGGACAGATGCATTTACAGAACTGGCTGTGCTCGCCTTCTTCGCAAGCAGCTTGCATTTGCATCTTAGTCCATCACCTTACTAACTATGAACTTTAGCAAAAGGACCTAACCTCTCCACACCTATTTCTTTACCCGTAAAATGAGTGTAGTAATACTAATTACTCCTCATGGGGCTGCGGTGAGATGAGACTACGTGAGCTCCTTCACACAGTGCCCGGAGCACAGTAACCATCCCAAAAAATGTTGTTATTGTTATTACCCAATAAAGTGAAACTTTTTATTCAAAGCTGCTAAATGATTAAAAGGATAAGAAAACCAGGGATCTAGTCTATCTTTCTTTTAAAAAGTCTCTGCTGATGTAGAAATGCAGCTATAAACAATCTGTTTCAATAAGATGGTAGATATAATTTACAGTCTACGATGTTTATATTTGCAATGAACTTTCAAATGTATTTATATGCCAATGAAATATATCACCAATTAACCAGTACAAAATTTCTATTGTAATGCATACAAAAACTATGGTCTTTTTCTGCCCACTTTGAAACATTTCATTGAATAGCCAAGTCATGATGCCCCTCTGAAACAAGGTCAAAATATAAACACAGCCATTTGTCTAATAGTATGACAAATTATCATGCAACATCTCAATGGAACCTTACAAATCACAAAGCTTTCTTGTGCATTTGCCATGTTGCCTCTTGGTATTGTGCTAACTTTACAGGGCGTGTTTCTTCTGAACATCTATGATGCACCATTCATCAAGCTGGGCAGCTTCACATACTATCCCCTTTAGTCTTCAAAATAACGTGACAATAAATATTCCATTTAAGGATGAGAATATCAAGTTGACAAGCTGATTTATTCCAGTTGATACGCAGTGTGGCAGAAAACTGGAAATTACACCCTGGTCTCTTGTGCTTTCAACTGTAACAAAATATCCTCTGCAAAAACTCCAAACAAAAAATGTCAAATGAGAAGGCTTCCCCGTAACTTTTTCACTTTGAATATTAACCAGAGGAGATAAGAAGCTTGTGAGAAAAAAATTCAAACTGATATAAAAGAAGTTCCCACAGAAATACAAATTAAGAATGAGAGCAAAGCAATCTGTAAGGGCCCAACGAGCCGGCATTCGCTGTGCAGCACCTAACTCAGATGAACCACCCGCTTATCTGTGCACAACCACCTCCCAGCTAAGTAACGGCTGGGATTCAGCCGCATTCCTCCTCTATCTCCTCAGAAGTTTGCTCATTTCTCTACTTTGCAACTTATCTCACCAACAGCTTTCTTTTTTTTAACTGACTTCTTTCTACGCTGCTAACTTGTGTGTTATTTGACGGTGGAGACTATTTTATCAATCTAAAATGCTCGCACCTAGCACACAGTCAGGACTTTCCAGGTCTCTCCCCCACCACTTCTTTCTGTGCCTGGAATTCCCACCCAGGGATGTAGCAGAGCAAAGCTGTCTTCCAAATGTCACTTACACTTGTACACACAGCCCTCTAAAATATCAGGCAACACTTGCTTATTTGGGGTTTTTATTGCTACTTCCTACAGAGAAACAGAGGAAACAAAATAAACCTTAGAGAATGGCATATGTTCAAAAACTGCAAAAAGCACAAGTTTTTATTGACAAGTAAACAAAGTTTTCTCTGTACTGCTGGCTGTTCCAGAATTCCCTCTTTTATAAGGTCTCTGACCTTAATTCATTCGCAGTCTTACTGCTGAGGGTGGAGTTCTTGTTTCTTTCTCCTTTATCTACTTCAGTAAAGAACGCAATTAAGACTCACTACACAGGTAGACCCTGTTAGATCAAAACGTGTCAACCACTAAGGCCATTCAACAAGCCCCACCCTTAGAAGGACGATGCAGCTACATTTCCACAGAAACACAAACCAGTAGCTCTTGTAGACTGCTCGGCCGTTTTGTTAAAAAGGAAAAATCAGGTCATTCTCCCCTTTATTGCCACCTCCGAGGGGTCATGATCTTGTAGAGGGGACAATATATACATCAATATATGCTAACATTATGCTACTACTTTATAGGTTAATGTCACATATAAGTGATCCCGACATCGAGATGGGGTGAGTTCACAACTGATGAAGAAAAGCTGGGGCTTGAGTAGGAAGAAAGCATACAGAGAAAAGCAGTCCAAAGGCACCTTGTTGAGAATGTACTGGTAATTTGGGTGGAATTGGAGAGGAAGCAGCAGTTGGGCTACAGTGAAACCAATGAAGAAAAAAGTTGGCCAGGGCAGAATTTAGACAGCCGTGAATGCCATGCTTAGGAGTCTTCACTTTTATTCAGTTGTCAATTGAGAACCTCTTTTCCCTAAACACGCCATGCTACTTACTCCATCCAATTGGAAGATTCAAAGCAGTTCATAACAGTTGGTACAGCCTTCTTGAATAACACAAGCGAAGTTACTGTGTATCACAAAGCTAATAAACACAAACACTCCAATTTCAGCATTCCACTGTAACTGTTTGTCCATGTTTTTCCTAGTATGAATACCTTGAGAGTGGGGATCTCATCTCAACCAACACAACCACACCACCTAGCAAATCATCTTTGGAAAACGGACGCTGAAGCTAGACTGCCTTGGACCGAATCCCAGCTTACCCACTAAATACTAAGTTTGTTAGGAACGCTATCCTCTCTCCTTTTTCCTTCATATCCAATCACAAAGCCCTACCAGCCACCTCTAAAATAGACCTGGGATCCTTTCTATTCTCTTCACATCCACTCTTTCCACTATTCTGACCATCACCTCCCCCCTGGATTACTACAATAGCTCCCAAACAGGCCCTTTTTCAGAGCTCCACGCAAATGTCACATGCTCAAGGAGTCTTCTCCAAACCCCCACCCTCCACTCACTAGGCCAACAACCTCATAGAGCACAGTACTTTTTATTTTTTCTTGTTATTGTTTGTGTCCCACCAGAATGTGAGCTCCATGAAGGCAGGGACCTTGTCCATGTGTTTTTCACTACGTCCCTCAGTGTCCGGCACAGGATCTGGAGCATGGTGCACACTCCAATATTGAATGAATGAATGAAGGGTCGGTTCTAGGGATTTCTTACTGAGAAGTTACTACTTAGTTTTGGATTGTATTAATATCAACCTCTGTTTAAGAAATTATAATAAACTGAGAAAATATTACAGGAAAAAATAACTTCCAATCCCATTTAAGAAGAGTCAACTCTCAGTTTATTCAGCTCCACAAAATTAGACAAATTTACAAAAGAGGGAAGGTAAATTATGTATAAAGATTCTTATTTTCCTTTGCTTTCCATCACAACGACACAGAGGTGTCCCCAGAGGTTATGAGTATACTTAGTGCTACTATAAAACCCATCCAAGAAGTTAATTTAATGGAGATGGAGTCTTCCCACAATTCACACATTTATTTAAAAGCTCTTGGAAGAAATCAAAAGTTACACACCCAACTGGTTGCATACCTGGGAAAGGTGAGTGTAGGTAGGTAGAAAGAACTTTCTCAAAATATTTTGGCAGTGTTTGAATATTTTATTGCATTGATTTAAAATAAAAAAACAATACATTAAAAAAAAATCTCAAACAAATGCAACCTAAAATAACTGGTATGCTCACAGTCCAGGATTTATATTTACAGAAAGCATAAAAACAATTTTACACTTCTCTAAGATTTTCTAAGTCTATTCCCTAGCCAGACTTGGGTTGTGTTAGACTGGAATCATATTTGAACGGGAAATGTTAATCTCTGCTATTAAAGGCTTGTATCATCCTGCTTAAACAAGGAAATGCAGAGGCAGGCCTAGATGTGGCCGACTCAGAACTGACACTTTTAAACTGAGGGAAGTAATCGAAGGTCTCTTAATGTCTTCACATGGATGATAAACAAGCAGAGAAAAAGAAAATTAAGGATACAAACAACAATTTATGTTCTGAGGAACTGGATATAAGGAATAACCAGGAATCAAGCTCTTTTGTCAAAGTGGGAAATAAAAGAAGTCACCATTGTTATTTTGTATGAGACTTCAAACAACTAGATAAGGTAAGAGGCCCTTCTACTTTTGTTTGTTTTACAAATTTAATCTACAAATCCAATCTCTCCAAAGAAAGTAACCAGACAAAAGACTAGCCACACATTTAAGCCCAGGCAAAGTAGGCTAGAACTGTATCTACGGTAGGGCTACAAGAACAAATGTATTCATTTCCTCCCCCAGCTTTCACTAACACTCAGCAAGAACGCAGGACAAAGTTGTACTTCTTGTCCAAACAGTAACATTGATCTGTTTCGAGACCAGGTCTCCTATTTTTAAAAGCGCGCTTTTGAGTTCAAACACTGCCACCTTCTTACACCAAATGCCCAAAACCGTCAAACGCCGGCCCGACTTCAATGTTCACCTGCACCCACGTCGCTAAGCACCAGAACAGACAGCAACACATGATGGGGAGAGGGGGCGGCTGATCCCACTGGGAGCCTCAGAACAACGTTACTACAGCTTCCTAGTGACCTACGGGACCTGCAGGAAGCATGAGGCCAAACCCTTAAGTCAGACCATGAAACTTCCCCCGCGGTGGAAGGATGGGGTGACGGCACGTGGTCCTGCGGCCGGCTCTGCCAGGCAGGACGGAACGACCCTAAGGGGGGGGGGGGGGGGGGGGGGAGCGGCTACTGGAGGGTTCCAAGCCGGGAGATGCCCCGGAGCCCTCGCGGGTACTCAGGTGGAGAGAGGGTGCGGCAGGTGCGGCGGTCGGGCCTCACCTGCACCCCGGTGTAATTCTCGAAGAAGAAGAGCACCATGCTCTGGTAGATGCAGTAGAGCCGATCGTCCACCGCCTGGTAGAAGCGGGAGGGCAGGAAGGCGGAGAGCAGGCGCCAGGCCCCCCAGGCCAGCACGTAGGTGGGCGCCGAGCCCAGCAGCACCGCGGCAGGCAGCACGCAGCGCATCGAGTACATGTGGAGCACCAGGGACAGCAGCATCTTGCCGGCCCGGCGCGCGGCCCGTTCCGCCGGCTCCTCCCCGGCTGCCGCCTCGCCGCCGCCGCGCTGCCCTCCGCCGGCGGCCAATCACCGCGCCGCGCCGCGCCCGCCGCCGCCGCCCCCTCACCGCCCCGGGCCGCCGGCCGCACCTGAGACGCCCAGCCCGCGCCCGCTCCGGCCTCCGCTCCCCGCCGCATGGGCCGCGCCGCCGCCGGGGGTGGGCGGACGGGCGAGTGCGGGCCCGGCGCGCTGCTCGCGGCCGCGGCACAACGGGACACCGCGGCCCTCCGCGGCTCGGCGGCTCAGGAGCGCTTAGACCCCATGACCCTCGGCCGTCACCCTACGCCCCTGTCGGGGGCGGGCTCCGCGGCAACAAAACGCCTCTTGAGTGGTCTCCCGTTACCATAGTTTCCCCTCGGGGGCGGGGCTCCGCGGCAACAACATGCCTTCTGATTGGTCGAGCCCGCTGACGGTTTCACAACTGCCGCCCGGCTACGCGGGAGGCCCGGTGCTGCCCACTGCGCGTGCTCCAGGGGTCGGCCTCGCTGCGGACGCGCGCAGGGAGGTGTGACCTGCCGAGCTGGGTGAAGGTGGGTGCCAGCCGGAGGAGGGGCCCCGGCGTTCAGCTGCCCCCTCGGTCGGACTGTGGACGTGGGTTGTTTCGAGGGAACGCCCACCTCTGCCTGCATGCCGCGTGCGCCCCAGGTTGCACCCCTCCTCTCGAGTGGTCCCCGTACGTGGATGCATGGGCGACGCGCTGCCCCGCGGATGTCTGCAGACCTGCCACCCCCGGTTAAGAGGACCATGCACTCAACAAACATTTGTGAGGCCTACTGTGGGAAGGCCACGAGACAGCTGGAGCAGTTATGATGAGTGTGATGAGCGCCGTTAAAGGCCCGCCCCGGCTTATCTACCTAAGGCCAGGCCTGGCAGTGCGGCTACCATCCATCTCGAGGTGGCTCCCACACTTGCCGGCTGGCTTCTTCCCCTTCTCCCAGCAGATGCCCGGGACGCCCTTCCTCCCTATCACTCGCCACTGGGGTAGCTGTGAATTAGGCCCCTTCTTTCTCCCATCACAGTGATGATGCTGATGACGTTTGCGCACAGCTGGACGGCCTTTTGCAAGGTTCTTTCCACAATGTTTTATCAGACCTTTTCAAATTCCCTCTTGCTTCGCTTCCCCAGGGCCTGGCTCTGTGACTTGTTTCTGGTTTTGTATAAGGAGCCTCATTTTTTTTGTGCAGTACTTTGCATGTATATGTAGAATGCATAAAGTACTGACATACTTTTGTGACCCTCACAAAAGTCTAGGAAGGCAGGGCAGCTGTTTTATTGATGTACAAACAGACTCCGAGGCCTTCTGGATCCTTCTGCTGCCCTTTGACTACAGTAAAAGTGTTTTAATGTGTAATGCTTTCCAGGGATAGTCGCACTTTAAAAGCGTGTCAAACACTTTAAGTGAAAAAAAAAATTAATTTTTTTAATGGAAGCTTGTGGGGTAGCTTTATGCAGACAGGTGGTTTAGCAGAGAATGCTAATCAGGGCTAGGATGGTGGCTGCTTTCTTTGTGTCAATGATTGACATCATGTAACATGATTGGTAGTTAGTGACCTTACAGAAAAAAGCTAGGTGAATAGAGATCTCTGAAGGAGCAAATATTTGCACAGGTGTCTTGCCAACAGGAAGCATTACACAGTAGAAGGATTTTCCCCCTCAGGGGAATTTATTGCTCTGTACTGTGAGAAGAACCAGATTTCGTTTGGGAGGGGAAAAAGTCATGGGTGTGGATAATGTGCACAACCAATGCTGCTTAAGCTTCTTTTAATTAATTCAGACCGGATATCCCTACAATTAGACAAATGTATGAAGAGATAAAGCGCGTTCACCGTTCATATTACCATCTGTATGGATGAAGTCAGTAAATGCATGTGATATGTGTGAATATGTTACTTCCTGTAAATTACTCCCAATAACCAAGTTTTAAAGTTTTGTGCAATGTATTGGCATGGAGACACGGAACTTAAGTCTCTCCTATCCCCTATTTATGTCCAAACCCAGCCGCTCCCTGCTTGCTTATTCCCTGTGCTCTTCACTCTCCCCTGTTCCTACTGGAAGTCAGAGATTCCCCCTCCCTTTCTGTCGCTGACCCACTTAAACTGTAATGAGCCTTCACTCTCTGCCTCTACTTCCTTACCTTGTAGTTTTTCTAGCCCTGTGCAAGCTGACTTCCTTTTACATCACTCTACTGAAATGGTTCTTTTTAAAGGGCACAACCAACCTCCCAGCCTGTGTACACTGGCACTAGGATCTGACAGTGAAAAGAATGGCTCTGTGTATGCCCTCCTGGTGCTTATTTTAGCAAGGAGTTACATGTGGGGTGAGTCTTCTGTAAAGGGGAAATTCATGGTACTGTAGGAACGTATGTTAAGGAGATCTCATTTAGTCAAGACAAGAAAGCTCCTCAAGTAGAGTGACATTTAAGATGAAGCTTGAGGGTGGAGTTAGCCAGGCTGGAGCTAGACATGGGAAGGCAGCAGAAGAGCCTTCCAGGTGAGAACAGCCGATCTGAAGGACCGAGGCTAAGAGCACACAGTGGACTCACAGCGTTGAAAGACCTGCGGGGAGCACTATAGTGGACCACGCTTTTTTTTAGATCCCCTAAAGCAATGCTATGTATTTCCCTCACACGTTTTTCAGTTAATACTGATAATTATTTTTATCATGTTTAGTTACAAAAGAAGTAAGTTCTGATGAGTTGTAAATGACCTTTTAAAATAAAGTGGTTTCAGAAATCTTTTAAATAGACCCCATGGGTTATAAATACCATTGTGGTTTAATACTTAGTTGCACTGTCGATGCAAATAATCAATAACCAATCTATAGATAAGAAATATGAGTGGTATTTATTGAGCCAACACTGAGGACTATCCCGAAAGTGTTCTCTCCACCAGGGAAGAAAGCACTCTGAGAAGCGTGGTTTACCGCATGGTTACACACCGTTTCAGAACAAAGAACATACATCAAGCATGACAGGAATGCAAATTTTTTCCCCAAACTCACGAGGATATATTTTGCTGCAGCTCAGCACAAACAGCAGATCAACTTGGCCTTGGATCTCTGGGAAGAAAAGCTTATCTTCAAAGAAGTGCTGGTACTGGCGTCAGAAAGGGAGACATTCATCCCTGTCTTTAAAGAGCGCGTTCTCTGCTTTGGGAAGATGTTTGAAGCTGATGTACAGTGCATGTTTGGTGGGCCATAAGTCAGGATGCTCTGGGAAAAACAAGTTTTAGGCCGAATCAAGGTTAAACCAGAATGGCTTCCCCATATACCTCAATATGTGAAAACTTATTATTTTCATCACCACCATCATCCATTTTAAAAATACTTAAGATTTGTACCAATGAGAATTTTACATTGATCCTTTCTTTTTCTCCTTGAAAACATATTTTCATTACACTTCCACCACAGAATTTTATCCTAATGCAATATGTTTTATGCTTCCAAGTCTTTTATTGATCAGACTGTGTCATCATGCTTCTAAGAGTTAAAATTTCTTCTAGGTTGAGCAGCTGTTGTTAGCAATATACAGTTTAATCAATGCATATCATGACATCTGATAATTGTAAAGAAAAGTAAAGTTTTATTGGAAATGCCTGTCTTAATGATGCTTTAATTAAAAGAACTTGTCACATTATCCTCAGAATCCTCAAGGTTATTATCCTCTTCACCTCAATACAGTACAATGTAGTAAGATTTTGGGTGGGCCAAGTGGGTGGGGATCATTGTGAAATGAAAGGTGGGTCTGGACCCCAGGAATCTTCTCAGGCAGATCAGTTTTAGGAATTTGAGAATCTGAAAATCGAGTCCCTTAAAACTCCTCACGGGGCCTGCCCAGTGGCGCAGCGGTTAAATGCGCACGTTCTGCTTCTCGGCAGCCCAGGGTTCGCCGGTTCAGATCCCGGGTATGGACATGGCACCACTTGGCATGCCATGCTGTGGTAGGTGTCCCACATATAAAGTGGAGGAAGATGGGCACGGATGTTAGCTCAGGGCCAGGCTTCCTCAGCAAAAAAAAGAGGACGGGCAGTAGTTAGCTCAGGGCTAATCTTCCTTAAAAAAAGAAATTTTAAAAATAAAAAAATTTTTAAAAACTCCTCACGACCACATCCTTACATATTCTCAGGGATACCCAGGGCCCAGTTGGAAGATTATTAGTCAAGAAAATAAGCGGGGTGAGGGAGACGAAAGAGGTTGAGTCAGGAAAGGAAAGATTGGCCAGACTCAGGTGACAGCGGGGTCTTAGGAGACGTGTGAAGGGTTGTAGATTATCCCAAAAGTTCCTGGGAGCTACTGAAAGGTTTTAAGGAGGGAAGTGACATGTTTAAATTTGATTTTTTCAAAAACGTTCCAGGCAGTGTGGAGGGCGGACTGGAAGCAGTTTGAAGATGGCGAGAGGCCCAGCTGGGCACCATGATGGCTTACACTTCGATAGTGACCGTGCGTGGAGAGCAAGAAGTGAATTCCTCATGTTTGGCCTTTTTGGAGAGAACTTTGGCAGTCTCGACTACAAATGGACAAATACCCTCAGAATCAATAAATCTACTTGAATGTCGTGGTTCATTAACATCAGACTGGTTACATGAATACACAAGGATGACTCGTGAAACGCTATGCAGCAGTTAAAAAGAAAGAAGTAGAGCCAAATGTATTGTCATAGAAAGATTTCCAAGACATTAGGTGGAAAAAGCAAGTTGCTGGATAATACGTACACTTTTACCCCATTTCTGTAAAAACTAAATAAAACAATACATTTCTATATGTAAATGTATAGAAACTACTGATGACAGTGATTTTTCTCTGGGGAGGGGAAGTAAGATCAGAGGAAGGTCAAGTGGACTTTTATTGTTTCCAGTTTTTACAAAGAAATATTGATTCAACAAATATGTATCCAGTGCCTGTCATGTGTCCCACCCACATCTAGCCGGGTGTCAGAGATAAAGATAGAGCATGGATAAAGGCCCTGAGGTCGTGACTCTTGTGGTCTGGGATGAAAGAGTGGGATTTACTCATTTGATAGGCAAATACAAATGAAGAAAGAAGAAAAAGAAGCAAAGAGGTAACCTTTTGCAAGAGATGGCTAAGAGGTGTGAGCCAGAGGAGTTCATTGGCTGCAGGTGATAAATGACACAGGAGGAATGAAGAACACCTTCAAGTTTCAGGCCTGAGTAACCAGGTGGCATTTGGTTTCATCTCCTGATGGAGTGGAAACAGGTTCTGTGGGGCATGGAACTCATTCAGCTGGTGGAGTGGGGAGCCCTTTAAGAGAAAATTCAAGTTTACAAATACAAAATTAGATTTGAACATGGATATTTATTTAGAATGAGAAGAAAAATCACACACACAAAAAATGAGTTTTTACAAGCTGACATACCAGAAAAATATCCAGAAAAAACAATATTTTATTATGAAACTGTATCATATCTGTAACAAAGTATACCTTTCTTTTGATTATGAAAACCATTGTGTATTTTCTACATAGAGAAAAAAGTAGTCATCTTTCCTCTAGCATTATAAATGGAAATTTGGTTTTCATCATTGATTGTTAGGATGCTTAAAATATTCAGCCTCACACTATGACCTTAATATAGATTCAGTAACAATCTAACTAGGTTTTTTGAGAGGGGAGGCACCAGGAGTGAAGCAGGAGGGCAGAGTAGAGTGGAGTCTTGACAAATGCATTCAAAAATTCATGTAGGAAAACAACTCAAAAATTTTTGAAAAGGAGCAATATTGAGTGTGGCAGATAGACTGATGGCCGTTCAAAGACGTCCACACAATTTCTGGATCCTATGAATATGTTAACTTACATGGCAAAGAAGAATTTAGGGCACAGATGGAATTAGGATTGCCAATCTGGTGACCCTAAGGAGATAATCCTGGGCTATCCAAGAGGGCCCAATGTCATCACAACGGTCCTTAAAAGTGGAAGAGGAAAGCAGAAAAGGAGCTCAGAGTGATGCATTGTGGGGTGGACTCACCTCATATTTGCTGGCTTGAAAGATGGAGGAAAGGGGCCAGGGGCCAAGGAAGGAGGGCGGCCTCCCGGAGCTGGAAAAGACAATGCTACAGATTGTCCCCCAGTGTCCCAGGAGTGCAGCCCTGCTTGGCACCTTTAGTCCAGTGAAACCCATTTCAGATTTCTGACCTCCAGAACTGTAAGATAAATTTATATTATTTAGGGGCCAGCCTGCTGGCATAGTGGTTAAGTTCACGCACTCTGCTTGGGTGGCCTGGGGTTCACAGGTTCAGATCCTGGGTGCAGACCTACACACCACTCACGAAGCCATGCTGTGGTGGTGTCCCACTTACAAAAAAATAGAGCAAGATTGGCACAGATGTTAGCTCAGCAACAATCTTCCTCACCAAAAAAATTTATATTATTTAAGCTACTAAACGTGTGGTAATTTTTATAGCAGCGGTAGGACGCTAACACACCGAGTGAGAGATTTTTCCAGTAAGTACCAAAACAAACTGTGGAGCTACAGTGGTAGGATGTTACTAGTGAGGAAATAGATGGCTCAGTGGAGCAAAATGAAGGGTCCAGAAACCCAGGCACTGCGTATGTGGATTTTGTCTTGCTTTATGAAAGTGGCATTTAAAATCCGAGGGAAAAGAATGAACTACTCAAAAAGTGATGTTAGTACATCTGTACATATATTACGGGAAAATGCTATAAACAAACATTACAACATACACCAAAATAAAACCCAGATGGGATTTAAACATAAATATTAATTTAAAAAAACGAGAAAAAATACCAGCTAATAGTTTGATAATCTTCAGGTGAAGAGGTTCCTCGGGCTAATACCAGGGTAAATAATCATCATGAAGTACTGATTCTCAAGAATCTCGGGATGTCCACAGAGCAATGTGACAGAGCAGAATTGAATAAACTTAATTGTGTTATGCCAAAAACTACAGAATAATCACCCTGAATACCATGCGGTCTTGTGGGTCTCTGAAGGCCTTGGGGAACATCCCGTTGAAGCTACGTGAACTCGAGTGTGGAGCGTAATTAAAGAGGCCTGTAACCTCATCAGTTGAAGCTACGTGAACTCGAGTGTGGAGCGTAATTAAAGAGGCCTGTAACCTCATCAGTTGTGCTGTAAATTGACCATCCTAAGTGGTAACAGAAGGTGCTGATCAGGACGGAGGACGCTTAGACGCAAAGGGAAACTTTCTGAGTGTGAAAGAATGGAAAGACCTTGAAAAAGAATACCTTCTATTCACTGACAGCTTAAAATTGTAAGCCAGTACTCTCCCTCTATTTGGTCAGCTCCCGCTCAAGATTTTTTTTTATTTGTAAAACGAAAGCAAGAAGGCATTCTTGTTCTAAATGATTTAAACACCGCTCTGTTCCGAATATTGAATGAACTGTGGAAATCTCCTGTAATTACTACTATTCCAAATCTGACTTTCTCACCTAGAGGTTACAGTCGTAATAAAGAACTTTCCAGTTATTCTCCTGTGCCTCTCTTAGTGAATGTTTGTGCATCCATTGCCCTGTTCCCCTGTCGGCATCGCTGAGATTGTCCCTCAGACCAGGCGTCCACCCCTCCCCAACATAGCTCATGAGCTTTTGGGGAGCGTTGACTCAAGTCCGCCCTGCTGGGGTGGGTCATGATCAGTGTAAACACCAAGTGGACTTCGTTGTTGTTTTTGTTTTGTGTGGACTTTGAACTCCTATAGTTCCCTCAAGACCCTTCCAGGTGGTCCAAGGTCAAGATATTTTCATAGTGACACTGAAACATCATTTGCCTCTTTCACCATGTTGAATTTGCAGTGAGGATGGTGGGGAACCCTGTGGCCGCCTTAGCGCTCGTCAAGGCAGTGATCCTAAAGTGTCCTGGTGACCACATGTTCTTGATTACCACATACTCGAGGCAAAGACACACTTGTTTCACTAAGAATATCCTTGGTGAAGCAAAAAGCTCGACCCATGAGTACACATCCCTTTAACATCCCGTGTCTGTAAACGGGAAGCGTGCGTGAAGCATGTACGGCGCCGAAGTCCAATAGTTCGGGGGCGGTAGGGGAGGGGGCGGGGAGACCTGTGAGTTGGGAGCTGGACCAGCTGCTTTGTTCACGGAATGTCATTTTTACTTGAAAGAATGAGTAACAAATAAACTGTGGTTATTCCGGCAGATATTTTCTCAAAAATGAACAAAATGATTCTGTCGCTTCAAGGAAAACAACTGACGGTATTGCTGATAATAAAATTCTGGTTTTCAAGTGAAAATTAGAATTCTGAAAAACTTATGTGCCCCCATGAGCTTGACACATTCCCAATTCTTAGATTTTTTTTTGATGAATTTCGTGGTGATATTAACTCGTGATTTTTCAATATTGTGTGTCAACATTTAGAAAATCTGCATAACTCAGTGAACCAATATTTTATAAATCATTTGCTCGGTGTCTGAAAACCATGCATGGGTAAATGATTCAGAGTGCAGGATAGACCAATGGATTTTAATGTAACAGGATTCAAAAATCTTATTGATTCTATTTTAAACTCCACATTGCTAATAACCTTAAAGAAATTACCAGTTACTGAGTTCTAATATAAAATGAAAGAATATTCACATTGTCTGAAAAAGCTATTAAAATACTCCCCTTTTTCCAGTCGCATTTGATTGGGGCTAGAATTTCTTCATCTGCCTCAACCAAAAAGCAACATAGCAACAGATTGATTATGGATAATCTAGCTGTATTCGGTTAAGCCAGCCATTAAAGAGATTTGCAAAAACATTGCAAGAGTGCCATTCTTACAGAAATTTTATTTTTGAAAATAGTTGTTTTTCATAAAGACATGATGTTAACATGTAATCGGCTTTTTACGTTATTTTTAAGGGAATTACTAAACATGTTCTTAATTTCTGGTTTTGATTTCCAATACAGTAAATATCAATAGGTGTGACTCAGGAAAAAAGCTCTTTATGTAAAGGGTTCCTGAGCCCTGGTCTAGGACAGCATAGCCCCACCTCTGTAGCCACAAGATGTTGTTCAGGAGTGAGCCCCCTTACTGCTTCTGAGACTCAAGCAGAGACGATCAGGGGATTCTGGAAAAGAAGCTTGTTCACTCTGCTACAGGAGCTACCACAAGACATGCTCCTCCCTTTCCTAGTTGGCAGCTTCATTGGGGTGAAACTGGGAAGTGCACAGCCACTTTGCCATGACACGGGAAGTCAGTGTAGGATGAAGCTGATGCCCAGAAGCCAAAGCAGAGAAACAGAAAGACAGGAAGCCTTTGCACTCCTCCGGCTGTTGAATCAAACCAGTTGCGCAACCCACCCTGTCTCTCGACCCTCTAGTTAGATGAGCAAACAAAGGTCTTATGAAAGCACAGCTGAGGTGGGTTTTTCTCTTACCTATCATCCACCCAGTCACCCAAGCTAGAAACCTGGAGTTTATTCTATGTGTCTCTGGTCCTCACCTACTGATATCCATTTGGGCACTAGGTCATTCACTCACTCAGTTATTGAGTGATTAGCATGTGGCAGGCCCTGTTCTAGGATCTGGTAATACAACTGTGACCCGGGCAGGTAAGGTCCCATCTTAGTGTCACTTCTATGTCAGTAGTAAGAAATGGATAATAAATAAAAATATGTCAATTAGTTATAAGGCAAGCAGTGAATTAAAACAGGGTGATGTGACACTGTTATGAAATGGCCTCTTCAAATCCTAAGGTTGGGAAATGCCTCTCTAAAGGGAGGGGGTGGCATTTAAGTCACAATCCGAATGATGAGAAGACCTAAGATGAGAGCATTT